ATCTGGTTTGATATAATTTCTTAATTTGTCTTGGTATTCAAGCTATATTGACATGAGAATTACAGTTTCTTTAAAATTACGTGCTGCTTCAAATTATGTTTTCTACGTTTATTATAAGTAGAGCTTAAAACTTACCGAAGCAAGCATTAATCTTAGTAGTCAAATAGAAAAGTTGAGGGTGAAAGTGCGTTTCCGTTTAATAATTTGCCGAAGACACTGTTTTGATCCAATTATTTTTTTAATTAGTTTTTCTTTATACATCGGTCCAAAAATTGGCCATATTGCGTTTTGAGCTGGAATTACTCTATGGGAGGAGTTAAACCAGCATGCCATCCATAGGAGCTCCCATATATCCACTGAGTAGGACCTGGTAGGACCGATGGTGAACTCAAAGAACGGGAAAAAGGTAGTGATAGTCATTGTAGTTACGGTAGCGAAATTCCTCGTCGCTGAAGCTATTGAAACGTTTCGAATACTGCTGAAAGTGCTGCACACTGTTCTGTAATCCAGCAGAGAGAACAAACGACGGTCGATGACGTAAATCTTTAACGGTAATCTTAACGATTCGTACAATCAAACACTAAAACTTGGCAAGTATCCCCTTACTCGCCAACACTGAAAGGTACCCTGTCCTGTTTACCAGAACCATGTTTAGAACCAGTATAGGCTCAAATTAAAAAAAAAAACTGGGACGCAAGTTAACTCCTACGAACATTAAACAGCTCAAAGGACAACACAACTAGCTGCTTGAGTTTAGTCTAAATGTAATAATTCATCACCATCTAAGTACTTTAAACTCGTCCCAAAGCCCATCGAATATGCCTTTAGTAGTAAAAAAAACAATTTCTGGGATGCCGGAATGGGAACTCATCTGTGCCATACAAGGACAAGTAGTACTTTAAGTAATTTTGTTCACACATCCCAGTACAAATTCTACAGTAACTTGAACCTCGTCTGCCTTCAATGGGGTTAAAATGTAGCTAAAAATTCAACCAGCACATCAAATCATATTACAATTCAAACTAACCACTAATATTCATGTGATTTTCAACACTAACGGCTGACACCTGATCTTACTACTAACTAGAATCAATTAAATTAATTTCATCCTATCCAAACAACATGATGACAAAAGCATGGGGTGAATGTTCACAAAGATGTTGCCACCGCAGAAATAATATATATTATCCGCACCCGACACTGCATCGCACCGTAAAGTAAAACTTCCCCATTTGCTGTTTAGGAAACCGAGCAGCAGAACCAAACACTGCACTGAATCTATAAAGGCAGACTACACCAGCACCCACCAAAATGTGGCATCAAACAACACGAGAGTGCTTCACCGAATGTGTAAGCAGTATGCTCGTAAACGCTTCAAAGCACACTCAGACCAACCAGTACGGTAGTGCTCCCTGCAGCTTTATCCGGTATTCATACCGAGTCCTCGTAAAAAGCTGAGATGTGTTCTAGTTTCTCACCCTTATCCGTCCTTCTGCGTTCAGCAACAGTTGTGAATATGCACCTCACACCGCACTCCGGTGAAGATATGATACATACGATGAAACTCTGCTCCAAATAATGAAAAGCTTTCGTTTTCATTACGCCCCTCTTCAATCATCTGAGAAGCCCTATGGGACTCTGAAGTACGGCAATGGTTTCAATGTTGTTACCATTATTGTGCCAGAAGCTTCAGCTACTAGAATCGTGAATTCACTAGGTACCTACAGACAAAACATACACGCTCGCGAACGAGTGCCGTGGATTCTCATCCCGAACGTTACAACAGTAGCAGCTCGCTTTAATTAAGTACCGCTACGGTGCTATGTCGTAAATTTAATCTCGTTTTCACGATAACTGCAGACATTAGTTATCCTTCTTTGTGCCGCTTGAGACTCACGAGCGACGGTATGCAAGCAAAGGTAACACTGTTACATAGTAGGTTTAGATCATCCCGACTAGACGACGTATCATCCGAGTTCGTCAGACTTGTTTCCCTCTGTGACAGTTGTCACAGCATCGTTACTCTCGGGGTCACGACGGTGACATGTTTCAATTTAGTGAACTGTTATATGGGGGTAATAGATTTGCCGGACGGATTTGCAAGCTGCACGTACACCTACAAGTGAAGGATGGTTTTCATCAGCACTAGCGCTCGAATGGTATTTTTTGGGACACGTAAATTGGGCAGCTTTGCGTGGAATTTTGGGCAAACATGTTGTGTTGACTGATGAAAAAATGGGACATACAAAGACAGCGTTTGACGTAGAAAAAAGTTACCATGCTTTTGAGCTGTCTTGAGAGTACCTATTTAGGAGAGTCTTTTATTTTTGCCAATCATTGCAGATAGCAAGTGAAACATGAATTATTTGAACCAATAGGATGTTATGGCGCCAAATTTACGCGGAGGTGAGTAACCAGCTCCGAAAACTTTTTTTTTTCAAATCAAGACTAAGCGGGTGTATTAATTTCAATCTAGATGCATTCCTCTGATAAAAGTTGATCATATGGTCATGGTCATAAGAATTTACAGATTACTATTTGCTTATATAAAACAAAAATACCAATTAAAAGAATGATGAATGTCTATAATAAATACTGTGAGATTCATGATGAAACTATGCCCATTGAGATAAATATTAACTTCTAGAGTTTAATCTCGTAAAGCTCAAGAAAAGTATGTGTTAGTATATATATATATGTGTGTATGTGGTCTAGACGTTTGACGAAATTAATCAATAAACAAAGGTTGAACACGAAAAAATCCGGACACGAAAATATTGTTGGGGTTTAAAAATGCGTTTTATTTTGCATAGTTCAATTTACAGCTATTCATTAGTAGGAAAATATTATGCTTATTGTAAGACCATTGTTTCAGTCATCCTTCTTACCATGGGCCATTGAACTTTTCTTCGTAAACGGTCAATCATCTTTTGCAGGAGCCGTGTTCTCACTTTTGTGGCTGCCAAATTCCATTATCGCTTGAAGACTTTCAGGTCAATTGCAGTTCCACCCTTTTTCTTCAGTATGTGCTTCACAATTGACCAGTGTTCCTCAATTGGTCTTAGCTCCGGAGTATTGGCCGGATTCATCTCCTTGGGAACCACTGCGAGGCCATTTTCGCTGTACCACTGTTTGGTGGAATTTGAGTAGTGGCTAATGGCCAAGTCCAGCCAGAATAGGCAATTCACCTCATGCTGCTTCAGAAAAGGCAGTAATCTCTTGCATAGGCACTCCTCCTGGTAAATTTACTGGTTCATGGCCCCAGAAGCAACGAAAATTTCACTTATCAGCCCACAACTGCAGATTGCTTGCCAGACAAGGAACTTTTTGGGGAATTTCGAATTCTTTTTGATTTTACATTTTCTGAGACACTCTTCCGGTCAAGCGAAGTATAAAATTTCTGCCCAGGAATTTGATCGATAACTGCCAGTAGCGGATCGATCGGAATTTTCGTTTCGAGCGTGCAGGATCAAATCGCGACGTGCTTGCTCAAGTGAAGCCATGATGTAAACAAATAAACTTATCCTGACTAGCAATGCCTACTGATTATATATATTTTTACAGTGAAATATTGAAAAAAAATCTTTAAAATGCCTTAATGTCAGCTTTTAAATATGCCGAAACTGTTTTCGTGTCCAACCTGTTGGAGCAAAATTGGATTAAAACATCATGAGAAATCAGTGCACTTAAATTTGAAACAAATGCTTGAAATAAAAGTATCCGCCTACAAATGTTTTTATTTTAGTCGCCTCATGAATGCGTTAAACAAGGATAGTAATAATACCCATATCTTCAAAAACCTTTTCTCCGGATCCCAACTTTCAGAAAGGGATCTTTTAAGAAATGCTATTTCAACCATCGTGATAAAAACAAATGTTTTAAGCAAATTCACCAAATTTTAGGAGAAAAATCTAAATTCACCATTCCCTACGAATTCGCAAATAGGTTTATTTTTGTATTTTTTGATTTGGTTGAAAATTTGCAAATTTCTTCTGACCGACAATGCCATTTTTAAATTTAAAATAAAGGTGGGTAATTTTTTTAGAGTGCATTTTTTTTTTTTCAAATAGTCACATCTATTATCAGCAAAACTGCTCAAGACACCAAACCGATCGGGCAAGTAGTTTTCTAGTAAAAAATTTCTGTAGATAAGCTTGATATTGGTCTATATGCTCTTTTCAAAAATAAGGCTGGACTCAAAATGACGGTATGAAGATGCAAAATGGCATTTTCGGTCATAAGGAACGTTTCTGCAAATTTTAAATCAAATCAAAATATATAAAGATAAACCTATTCGCCTATTCGATAAATTACCTGTAAAAACATAATCCAAACATTGAGGATCCGAAACCTTTAGAAGAAAAATCGCTTCTGTAATAGGGTAGAGAACTACTTCAGCCTAATCGCCCATTTGGGGCCTATCGAGCATAAAACTTCAAATAAATCCATGATTTCAGAGTTAACAAGTCAATTAAGGTACACCGGGGCAAGTGAGAATCCGGGGTAAGTGAGAACGGACGGCAAAACTCGCTTCAAAAACAATTTTTAAGGCCGCATCTTTCAGTCAATGAAAGGTACAATCTCAACGGTCAAATTGAATACCAAAAACAATTATGGTTTTTAAACCCAACACCAGGGTGCAGCTTCGAGTTCAAACGTCATTTTCAACTTGCGTAATAAGTTGAACGCACTGTTTTTTACGCGACGTTTTGTTTACAATCGTTAATGGAAGTGTTTGTTTTATTGAATCCAGGTAATCATCGTTAATATATTAATAAGTTAAACACACAAAATACCTGTATTATACTTGCATTCTCATAAAATACAGAAGTCAAAGTAAATACGGTATTCCACAGCACCCGGGGCAAGTGAGACCTATTGAAACAAAGTGTTTGAGATCAAACTTTTCGCTTCTTGTGTTGTTATTGTGTGTACTTCTCGACGTTTTTTTTGTTCAAAAACATAATTTTCCTGTTTCTTGTTCCAGTTCAACAGTGAAAATGGTGCGGCACTACGTAAAAAAAAGATTGCCGGCAGCTTACACCAAGGAAACCTTGCTGGAAGCTGTGCAAGCCGTCCGGAGTAAGCGTTTCACGCTGTATAGCGCGGCCAAATACTACAAAATTCCAAAGACAACATTATGCAACCGAGTCCACGGGAAGAGAGGAGTAAAAAGCTCGACCGGCGGAAGACCTACTGCTTTACCGCTGGAGGTGGAGGCCAGGTTGGCAACTAATATCAAGACCATGGAGAAGTGGGGTTTCGGTCTTTCGAAACCGGAAATAGTTTCAGCCATAGAACAGCACGTTAAGAAGACTGGCTTGAAAACCCCCTTCAAAGATTCAGTTCCTGGAGATGACTTCTTCGTAAACTTTAAACGTCGAAACCAATTGTCGCAGAAAAAACCTCAGGCAGTTGAGGTAGCTCGTAAACAATGTGTGGATCCCTTCGCAATAGCTGATTACTTCGAGCTGTTGAAAGAAGTTACCCAGCATCTTCCACCGGACAGAATCTATAATATGGACGAGACCAGTTTTTGCCTGGATCCAAGCAGGGTACTAGTCGTCGGAGAAAAAGGAAAAGCTGCACACAGGGTGACAGCTGGTCCAGGACGTGAGAACTACTCTGTGCTGATGGGTGCCAATGCTGCAGGAGATAAATTACCACCGCTTATCATTTTCAAAGCCAAAAACGTGTGGGATTCTTGGCTAGCAGACAAGAAGATAGAATATCCTGGGATGTCGTACGCTGCAACGCCCAATGGTTGGATGGACACAGAAACCTTCACCAACTATTTCCGATCCACTTTCCTGAAAAGTATCCCAAAGACAAGACCGGTCGTGTTGATCTACGACGGACATTCCTCGCATACTTCTCTTGAACTTGTTGAACAAGCACTGCAAGAAAACGTCGTGATTTTAAAGTTACCTCCTCACACCAGTCACCTTCTGCAGCCGATGGATTTGTCGGTCTTCAAACCGCTGAAGCAGAAATATGACGATGCAATCGTGAAATGGCAGAGAAAAAACTATGGCATTAAATTGAACAAATCAACATTTGCTGGCATAATTTCAGATGTTTGGACCCAATGCAACCAAGAAATTATAAAACACGGATTCCGCAAAGCTGGGATTTACCCGTTTTGCGCAGATGTTATTCCACAGGATAAGTATGATCCGTGGGCGTTAAAGCGATTTCAGCTTAGCCGCCTTTCTAACGCCGCGGTTCCGTCCGCTGAAGAAAGCTGGGATTTATTTGAAGCAGGTCCTTCAAATCTGGATTACCAGGCTCCAAAGGAATCAGTCATGAGTGACCAGAAAAATGCACCTTTCGACGAGAATTCATTCGAGCTTATCCTTCTGGAACATGTTAAGCAAAATCGATCAACGCAAAATGTTAAAAAAAGAAAAGTTTGTCCTGGGGCTGAGGTCATCACGTCTGAAGAAGCAATCCAGAGAATGAGAAATAGCGTGAAGCAGGAGAAGATCAGACCGTTGCCAAAAGTTTTGGATACAGGACAGCACGATATCGTCGATAATACAAAACCGACCCGGGCAAAGAAGCCTAAGAAAGCAACGCCAAAATTAATCAAACGGAAACTAGATAATCTGCCACATCCTAGTGATGAAGAAACGAAGCCGACTAAGCCTAAGAAGAAGAGATTGATTTAAATAAGTTGTTCAGCATTGGTATTTTAAACCATACCGGTTAAACGCGACTACGATTTGATAAAGTAGTTAATTTACATTTAAGCAGTGTACATGGAAGAATAAATAAATCTTAAATTTACTTTGTAGTTTAAAAAAAGAACGAACCATAAAGGGAGGGTCCATAGATTACATCACGTAAAAATTGCTAAGTTTCAACCCTCATCCCTCCTATGTCACGTTTTTTGTATAAACATTCATTTTTTATGTATGAAACGTCACGGTTTCCAAAACCCCCCTCCCCTTAGAAGCGTGACGTAATTAATGAACGTTTCCAAATAACGTTCCAAGAGGGTTGAATACACTTACCCTTACCCTCATTCAACGATATCCTGTACTTTGGTTACATGGTATTTTTGTGCTCTATGTAAGTCACATGATACAAAAATAATCAAATTTTGTTACGGTGTTTTTGGATGTTCCATTAGCAAAAAAATCATTATTCCACTATTTATTGACAGCCACATATATTGCTGTAGAACAAACATGAGAAAATTCACATTTCATATATTTATAATCAAATACCAACATAGGACCCACTTGCCCCGGTTCTCGGGGCAAGTGAGACCTATCGTGATGTTTTTGAATTTTCTCTCTATTTTTTTTTTCAACTTGATCATTAGGCTTCCATTTTAAATAAACTTAAGCAGGGATGCTAAGAGAACGTTTCTATGCTGCAGGAATTTAAAAATAATAATAATTGTAGATTTTACAATCGAATATAGCTGAACTATGAAAATTTTAGGTCTCACTTGCCCCGGTGTACCTTATGCGTTTGGTACGATACGTTAGTTAATAAGCTACCGAACGAAGTCAATGAGAACGCGTGGAATGAAGATTTGCACCCATTATTCTCAAAAACAAAAGAAGCGCTCCGACCGAATCAATTTTTATCTTCATCCGATAGGCCGAAGTGAATTCATTGGTATTTCAATGGCGTTTCAATGCGTTAGGCCGAGTTTAGAATCCGTAGGCCGAGTTTGGCGTCAAGAATCAGTGTTAGATTTTTGACAATATCTCAACGATTTGTTTCTCTTTATCAAAACTTTTGGCACGTACGGAAAGGTAAATAAATTTGGAAGCCACCAGTAACAATAACATTCCGTTTGGTGCTAAACTGCGCTAGATTAAGAAAGACTAAGTGCGGGTTGTGCTTAATAGGCTGTAAATGGGGTATTTAACCCTATTCCGAGAACTTCAGGAAAGTCACAAATTAGGAGAAGTTTGAAACTCTCAATAGGTAGGAGAAATGGCTCTAATGCTGGCATATGAATCTAAGATTGGACCCATCGCTAAAAATCTGCTAGTTATCAATTTTATCTAGATGAACGCGTCATTGGGACGGTACTAATGGCTATTTTTGATCGCTATTGAAAATTTAGCTGATTGCTGAATTTATATATGGACCGACATTACAACCATTTACTCTATCAGAGCAGTTTGATAAACTTCATAAAAATCTTAATGAAGAGCAGAGAGCTCATGGACAGTTCCATTAACCTCAAGAAAATTGCTGAAACTTTTCAGAAGTTTCACGAACTGCATGGAGTTCAAATAACTTCAGGTATTTTTAAAGATCTTGAAAAATGGCCAGAGCTTTGAAACTGTTGAACTTCACACTGTTGTTGAGAGAACTTCAAAGAAGTTAAGATACCTTAAGGAAAGTTTCGTGAACATCGGAGCCGTTCTGATAGCTTCAAAGCAGACCATCATAAACATTAGGTAAATTTTGAGAACTTCAACATAATTGGAGAACTTTCTGGTAGTTCTATTTACTGCAGGAAAATTATTGAGAATAATTAAGAAGTTTTGAGTATTTTATAAAATATTCAAGACGACTAAGATGATCCAAAAACTTCAGAGTAGATCCGAGAATTTCAAAATCATCATGAGGGCTTCAGGGAAGTTAAATGACCTTAAAGAATAAATTCCAATAGCTTCAGTATAGGTCCATAGAATTAAGAATTTTTTCAGAACTTCTGTGAAGATTAGAGACTTTCAACGCAGCTCGTTGAATTTGCGAAAATTACAGAAACTTTTCAGAAGCTTCTGAGTAACTTTGATATTTTCAGTACAGTTACATACACTTCAAAAAATGTTTGGGAACTTCGGGTAAGTTCTAAGAACTACTGAAAAGAAATGAGAACTTAAAGGCAGTTCTATTCACGAAAATTTAAAAAACATTAATTCAGTTCCTAAAACTGAAAGCAAGTTCCAAGAATTTCTGGAAGGTTTCTTGACTAGACTGCGGGAACATAAGGCAAGTTTCCAGAACTTCTGGAAAAGTTTAGAGCTCTTGTAGGTAGCTTCAAGAACTTCAAGATGTTTCCATTAGCTTCAGGAAAACTGCAGCAACTTGAAAAGGTTCTGAGAACTTTAGGGATTTTCGGAGAACTTCCATAAAATCGAGAAATCCTCAAAGATCTCCAGATAACTGTAGGAAAATTGAAAAAAAAATTAATGAAGTTCCAAGAAGCCCTGGGAAGCTTGGTTTAAAGATTTTCAGGGAAGGTCAATGATGTTAAGGACAGTTCAAATAATTTCAATGATATTCCACGATTTTTTGGAAATTCCAGACTTTCTGGAAGAACAATAAGGCAATGTAAGGCATGTTTCGAAAAAATCAGGTTAGTTCCAAGAATTTGAGGAAAATTTCGATAACCTTTTGAGAAGATCAGGTAATATGAGGGAATTCCAGTTTAAAGATTTTTCGTTCATTTGTATTTGTATTTGTATTTATTGTATAAATCCATCTGATATCGTGGTCTTAATGAACAACAAAATCATTCTGGTTGTTTCCGTAGGTGGTTTCGAAAGACGTTGGTAGAGATATTGAAGTCAAACAAGCTGTAATTGTCTTGGAGTCTTCGACTTATCGAATCGATGGGATTGTTGGATCCGTACTGTGTTCGTCTCGTTGGCTGGTGCAATAGCTGTCTAGATTGCAGCACTCATTGAGGGGCGTAGATGTTGAGCTGACTCAGCAATGCAGGGCAGTCTATTTCGGAGCGTAAAATTTTGGCTCCTAAGATAGCTTGGCTGAACTTGCGTCTATCCACTAGCGGTTCAATACCAAGCAGCGCACAGCGGTGCTCGTAGGGTGGTAGTCGTAATGAGTCGGTCCATGACAAGCCTCGAAGAGCACATCTTACAAATTTCCGCTGCACTGATTCGATTCGTGAAATCCACACAGCATCGTACGGAGACCAGACGGCAGAAGCAAATTCAAGAATTGATCTAACTAGCGATCAATACAGAGATTGCAAACACAGAGGGTCATAAAATTCGTTCGCTATCTTGAGAATAAATCCAAGTTGACGATTTGCTTTATCAACTATTTCCGAATAGTGCATTTTGAATGTGAGTTGATAATCCATTACCACACCCAAGTCTTTAACATGATCAACCCGATTCAGTACAGTGCCATTGATAGTATAGTCAAGTAGCATAGGATAGATGATTCAGTGCACACCAACTGACAAACAAATCTAGCTTTGGTTGCAATTAAAGGCAATCATTGGTGCTCCTAACAACCAGGTAGATTTTCAAATCGTCTGCGTAGAACATTAGGCAGCAATTCAGAAGAACGTGGGACACATCATTGAAGAACAACGCGAATAACAGCGGCCCCAAGTTGCTCCCTTGCGGCACCCCACATCGAGGAATGAAAGGTGCAGACACGGCTGATCCAATTTTCACGAACAATTGACGGCCAGTCAAATATGATCTCAGCCAACTACAAATTCTCAAAGATGCTCCCAGTCGCTCCAGCTTAGCCAACAGAATATCGTGATTAACTGAGTCGAACGCAGCCTTTATGTCAGTGTATATGCTGTCGATTTGACCTCCTTGCTCCATTTCGCTGATGCAAAACGACGTGTATTCACACAGATTAGTGATGACTGAACGTTGCGGAAAAAATCCATGCTGAGATGTTGAAATGTACGTTTTACAGGTCTGGAACATAACATCATTGAGAATTATTTCAAAGCATTTGGATCCGGCAGGCAACGAAGTTATTCCACGATAGTTCGACACATCCACTGTACTGCCTTTCTTGAAGATAGGCTGCATGTATGACATCTTCCAAGCGATTGAAAACTGCTGGCTTCGAAGAGAGAGGTTGAATATAGCTTGCAGAGGTGTAATCAACATGCCACTTCATTTTTCAATATGCACGCAGGAATACCGTCCAGTCCAGGTGATGCAGATGATTTCAGCTTCTTCAGTGCATTCTCCACCATCGTCTGATTAACATCGAAAATATCAATGTCGAATACGTCCACGGGCCGTAGTTTGTCGTAGTTTCAACATCCGATGGAGACGCAGTTGATACCTGAAAAACACTCGCAAATCGTGCAGCAAATAGTTCGTATTTGGCTTCTGTGGTGGAGGCAGATTGATCTTCCATGCGCATGGTAGATGGAAGGCCGCTTTCATTTCGCTTAGTGTTTACAAAATTCCAGAACTGTTTAGGATTTATTCACAGATTGTCCTGAACACGTCTTACGTATCTGCCGTACAAGTAACGGTTATAGCTCCGATAGTTGCGACTAGCTCGTGCAAACGCCAGTTTGGTGATGCCATTTTTGCGTGCCGAGAAGCGTTTAAGCATCTTAGACCGAATACGTCGAAGGTACTGTAAGCGAGAATTGAACCAAGCAGGTTTTCTCCGAGGTCTTGACAACGGAACACAGAATGTGAAGCAATCGCGCAGTATACTGTTGAAGCAACTAACAGCATCATCTACGTTGCTACACCGACAAACAGTAGACCAATCAACTTGAGAAAGCATAGAGTTGAGTGTGTCATAATCAACTTTACTAAAGTCACGATCATGTTCATCGACGTTCTCAACAAATGGAAAGATTGCTGAACAATACACCGTGAAAACAAGAGCTGGATGATGAGGATCGATATAACCGACTCCGGGGCCTCATCAACTGAACTACAATCTGTCATGT